GTTTCAAACTATCCAAGGGTATCCCGATTATTCAAGAGCTCTTGTGAAATTCCCAAAACGTTTAAGTTCACTTCCATTAAAAAAATAAAAACAAAAACAAAACCAGCTTATAGTATGTCTTGAGATAGTCTGTCATAATATCAAGCAAATGACAAGAGGCATTACTGTTCCTGAATCTGGTTGGAAACCACTGGTGTTAAAAAATCATAAAGACAAAAAAAAAATCATAAAGACACTAGCTTGATGCTGAAAACTGAGAAGCAAACTCATGACCACTGTGAACCTGGGAACTCCCAACAATTTGGAAAATGACTAATATTTGGGAAAACAATTCAGCAAATGTCCAAAATGCCAAGGGGTACTGAACTGTGATCTCTATCCATCCTCCAGGTGGGAAAGAATAAAACAAAATCCTGAAACTTTTTGTTAAAGATTGAATTACAAAATCAGAGGAAGGAAGAAATGCAGCTGCCAGGACAGATTTGAATTTCAGTTAATCATTTGATTCCAGTATCATGCAATTTTCATCAAAAACAAGAATTCTCAGCAGCTGAGAAAGAACCAGAGAGAACATGAGGAAGAGGCCAAGAAAGGCAATGAGGGGAGGGAGCAGGAAAGCTAAGGAGGCTGTGCCCAGGAGAGGCCAGAGCCTGTGGGCTCCAGAGGAGGCAGCCCCTGGGGCTTGCTACCCTGCTGAGGGAGGGGTTCCTCTCCTCCCATGAGTCCTGCCTCACAATGGTCTCTCTCTCTCTCTCTTTCTCTCTTTCTTTCTCTCGCTTGCTCTCTCTCTCTCTCACAGCCCGCCCTCGCTAAAGCAAGGCTGGGCTTAAGTCTCAAGAGGGAACTGCCCTTCACCCAGGAAGAGGCCACCCTGCCAGAGGTGCCTGGCTTCTGTTTGCCAGGAATGTTGGTGGCGATAGGATGATCTCTGCACATTCTTTGACCAGGTCCCTACCTGCAGCCAAAGACATACCCTTCAAAGTGGCTGGGGCAAGGGCTGCAGCCAGAAGCATGTCTGGACTACTCCAGAGGCACCCCACTGGCTGGGTCCCCTGAGCACCAGGCCCCTGTGCAACTCCGAGGCTGTGGTTTGCCCAAAGTCACAAAACTAGGAAGTAGCATAGGCCCAAGTGGAGTGCAGGTCTCCCAACCTACAGCCCTTCCATCACATTTCTTTGGTGGTGCTGTAGCAGAGGGAGTAAAACCACAGGTAGAGCCAAACACTGCAGGAGGCAGAGTGATGAAGCCTATGAACCAAGAGACATGAGGCTCTTTGACCTGTCAGGGGCAGCTTCTTAAGGGCGTGGAAGGGAAAAAAACAAAAGCAAGCTTATACTCATAGGGAAACATAATCTGTGATTATAAATATTTCATGAGCGAAGAAAGTGGTACTGGCTGAGAGACTGGGGCGGGGAGGGTGGACAGCAAATTAGATCCCAGTTTGCAAAGTGATAGGGCAGCTGGAAAAGCAGCAAAGCTGAGGCTATTCTGGGCTGTGCGCTGGGAAGGCCTGCGTCACAGGCGGAGAGCAGGGTCCGGCCACTCGGCTTTGTGGAAACCACAGCCTTCCAGTGGTCAGCACAGAACACCTTGGGGAAGAGTGAAGAGCAGAGGAAGGGACAGCGAGGACAGTCATTTGAATGACCTGGGTAGGCCCCAGCGGCAGAGGGAATGCGGCAGAGCGGCAGGACCCTGCAAACTCGTGAAAGGATCCACACCACAAGCTGGCTGCTGACTAAGGGCACAGGAAGGAGTGAGTCTGACCCCAGAAGGCAAGTGACCTGTGAAGAGAAAGGGCAGCTCAGGAAAGAGCAAAGGCCCAGCCCCCGAGCAGGTGGTACCCGGCTGAGAATAACAGTTCTGCTTTTCCTTTGCCTCAGGACAGGGGTCTCTTTCCCCCAAAGCCTTTGGGAAGCAGCAGCCCAGAAAGCAGAGAAATTAAGAGCTTGCTGAGTACCAGCTGCTACAGTAGGAGACACTCAACACTGACAAAGCAGGACCCAGGCTGCGTGTGATCCCTCCTCCTTGGCCACGGTCAGCCACTGCAGCAGAGCATGTCAGCCACAGACTCTATCAGTCCTTCCACAGGGCCAGATGGAAAAGGACGTTAGCTCCTCAAGTACCCAGGGGGACCCTGAATCAAGCTTTGTCGGAGGGGCCCTGGGGAGCGGTGCACGCCTCAACCAAGTAGACGGAAAACTATGAGCCCTCACCTCACTGCAGTCAAGACATAGCAGGCAACAGGCTCCAAGGTGTACCCACTGACTTCAGGAAACGCAAATTATCCTCTAGGCTCACAGCTAGAGAATCCATTCAAGGTGGGGAGGACCATCAACCACAAAATTAAGACCCCATAGTGCTGTGGGAAGACTCCGCAGTTACAAGTCCCAGGATCTGACTTCCAGACCAGCTTTACTACCTAAGAGTTTTAAGACCCTGTGAAATCAAGTTACCTCTGAAGTTCAGTGTCCTCATCTAAACCATGGACCAATGCCTGCCAAACCTAAGGACTGTGAGGAATCCAAGGACAGACATACACATACTTTCAAAACAGATACTAAGTGCCATCCCAATTTAAGAGATCATTTATATCCAGCTACCTACCTGATATCTCTTGGATGTCTCAAAGGCATCCCCTTCCAGATGCCCCTAATTGCTCCCTACCTGCTACCCAGACCTCTCCTAGGGTACTGCCCCCTCACACCATCCAGGCATGGAAGCCAGAAACCCATGACCCATTCTTGGCCATCCCCACCATCTTAATGCACCACCAAGCCTAGTCAACTGTACTTCCTAAAGGCTTCTCCTTCCCTCCTTTACTACCCTTCTCACCCAACACATCATCATTTTCACAGGGCCTGCTGCTGCAGAGCCTATGCTACCCATTTTGGATTCCCTCAGCCCCTGTCCACAGAGCAAATCTAAGCACATCTCCTCTCCCACCACCCCTACCCCACATGCTGAATACCCCACAACAGTACCCTCAACGTAAGCTGGAAAGGCAAGGAAAGCTGCCTGGGGCCTAAGAGGTCTCGCACAGCCTGGCCCTGCTCTTCTCCTACTCTCAGCCAACACCACACTCCGTCTCACTCTCCCTGCTCTGGCCACACTGGCTTTTTCAAGTCCCTGGTACTTATACCATTCACTCCTGCCACAGGGCTTTTGCACATGCTCTTCCCCCTGCCCAGAACATTTTTCCCTCCTCTCTAGCCTAACTAATGCCTACTCATTGATTTTTGCTAAGGTATAATAAAGCACATGATGTGCATAACTCAATAATTATTTATAGATCTATACCCATAATTCCTGCCTAGACAGGTTTCCCTCTTCCCCTTTCCTGTCCACACTCCTCCCCACCCCCATCACTATCCTGACTTCTATCACTTCTATTCATTTCTCAGAAAGCAGCTGATGCAACCCTTTCTCAGAGAAGCTGCCTCCAATCCCTCAGAAAAGTCTAACCCCTCTATCACAGGCACTTTCACACCTGAGAATTTGCATTTGAATTATGTGGTCTGTGTTGATTTCCCAAGGGACACCATAGGCTCCATGAGGGCAAGGACCATCCCTACTTGCACTCACTGCTGTTTCTCAGTGCTGGCACATGCATAGAAATGACAACAAAAAACAGCTAATACCTACTGAATGCTCATTATTGCCAGGTACTCAGAGGTACTACCTCACTGAACTCTCACATCAATCCTACCAAGTAGGTGCCATTGTTATATCCCCATTTTACAGGTGAAGAAACTGAGGACCAGAGAAGTTAAACAACTTGCCCAAAGTCATTAGGTGGTAAGTGGCGGAGTCAGGATTCAAACCCAGGCAGTCTGGCTACAGAGCCTGTGTTCTTTATTTTATTTATATTTTATTATTTTTTTTTTTAATTTTTTTTTTTCAATGTTTATTTATTTTTGGGACAGAGAGAGACAGAGCATGAACGGGGGAGGGGCAGAGAGAGAGGGAGACACAGAATCGGAAACAGGCTCCAGGCTCTGAGCCATCAGCCCAGAGCCCGACGCGGGGCTCGATCTCACGGACCGTGAGATCGTGACCTGGTTGAAGTCGGACGCTTAACCGACTGTGCCACCCAGGCGCCCCAGTATTTTAAATGTTTATATTGAGATAGAGCAAGCACACCTGTGCCCACAAGCACAGGGAGGGGCAGAGAGAGGGAGAGAGAGAATCCCAAGCAGGCTTTGCACTCTCAGCACAGAGCCCAACACTGGGCTCAATCTCACAAACCGTGAAATCACGACCTGAAATCAAGAGTCGGACGTTTAATCGACTGAGCCACCCCGGCGCCCTGGAGCCTGTGTTCTTGATCATTGGGCTACTCTGCCTCTCAGAGGCCACAGGAATATACTACAAGCATGTGCTCAGGATAACTTGAGTGAATGGACTTACAAACGAGTTGATGAGATTTCGTTAAGGGAACTAAAGGAGCCCCCCCAAATCTCCCTGAGAAGATCAACAAACAAATGGGACCCACCTACATAGGCCCAAGATTAGGTCATCTGCAAAACGTAAGGGCTCCATTCCCCCGGCAGTCAAGGGCAGAAGCTTTCTACTGAACAGAGGAGTGCTTCTGCTCCCTAGCAGAGGGTACTCCACAGCAGAGAGAGGATTACCGTCTAGGTTCCATCGAAGCCTGAAGGCAATATTCCACTAGATTAAACAAGTCCCTCTGCTCTTTTTCATGCTAACCCTGTAATCTCCATAACCATTTAACATCTCAAACCCTCTGACACACAAAAAAATTGCTGGCTGGCAAAAAAATAAAACAAAATAAAATCTTGCCTGGTTAGAAAGTGACAAAGTCCAAGTGCACACGTATGAATTGGCATTTGGTTTGTACATCCATTCTCCAGAGCTTGACAATCCTGGATGGGCTCATAGGCTACTTCCTGCAAAGACCGCCATCTTGTGTGGCCAGACAAGGGTTGGCCACATTTTAACTGCTTTGGTGCCATTTACCTCATGACTACATCCCAGAAAGCTCAGGAAGGAACACACAGGAAAAGGTTTATTTTGTCACAGGACACTGTTCCCTGGCATGAGGCCCCGAGTCCCCTCCCATGAGTCCCAGTGCAGCCAGTGGCCTGGCCACTGCTCACACAAAGTTCTGAGCAATGGCCAGCACTTTGGAAAATTCACCTTCCCTCTGGCGCAGGCTGGTGGGGATGGGTGTCTTAATTCGGGTCCCCACAGGGTTCCCATTGTCCTCAATGAGGACCACATTGTTAGAGTCAAACCTGGGGGTCATCCGGGGACCAGGCATGCGATGCCCCACAATGAGTGCCTTTTTCTTCTGTCCCTTGATGGCCAGCAGTATCCGGTCACCCACCTTGCCCACCCCACTCTTGTTATAGACGTGGATGCAACGAGGAGGGCGATGGTATGGGGTGTTCCCCAGGGCACTGTTGTCCACCACACGTACGCGCGTCATCTTCTGAATTGCATCGAGGCTCCCAGTGGTGCTAGGGAAAGAGAAAAAATGTCTGAAGTCTGTATCTTTCCTGGCCAGGGTGCAGAGGCCTCAGAGGGCAAGGCCTGGGAGAGATCAAACGTTAGCAACAACATGCTGAACAGAGCAAAACCCAGGGCCCTGACTGAAAGTCGGCTTCTTGTGAAGACTTCTCTGTGACCAAGACAGTTTCCTCACGGTCAAAAGCTTCTGCTGCCAGGTCAACATCTCACCTTGGAGGGGTTTTAAGGAGAACCCGACTCTCTGTTACAACGATCTTCATGGCCACCTAACTGAAAGCCTTTAGTATTCAAAAGAACTCTGAGGATTAAGGGAATATTTTATGGGCCAGGCCTCACCCATTACCTAGCCTGCAAAACCTGCTCCCCCACAATACACTGATTCCCAAACTTCCCATCTGTGTGTTGCTGGGAACTAGACAACATGAGTAGGTTTGCTAAGGGGGTCCCCTGACATAATATAGGAGAAACCAGAAATAAGTCAAGGTAACAATCTTTTGTCTCAATGCATTTGCCCCACTAGACTGGAATTTGTTTTAAAGAATACCTATTAAAGGCAGACAAACTATTATTAAGCAGTCTGATAACAGGTGGATTTCTATTTTCCTGAAGTGCTGGCATTGTCCCGGGTAATCCTAGGCTCTCCCCTCAAGTTCCACATGCCTGCTCCAGGTAATCTCATTGGTTCCCTCTGCTTCCAACTAGTAAATTTCATCTCCGGCCCCACTTCTCGCCTGTACTCTAGCCCTTCATTCACTCCAAGCTCCCCGCAACATGTCCTACTGATACTGCAGGCTCAATAGGTCCCACAATGACCTCATCGTCTCCCCTTGCAAACCTCCCCCTGCTGCCATATTTTCTTTCTAGAAAATGGCTTATCCAGCCCCCAAGCCATAAACCTCTCTCTCCATCAACACCCTGGCTGCCAAGTCCTATTGCCACTACCTGCAAAGCCCCTCTGTCCCTTCCCTCCAACCCCACCAACACTCTGTCAGTTCCACAGCTTTCTCTCTTGCGCCAAGACTGTTACATTAGTGTCCCAAGTGGTTCTGTGTGCCTCACATTGCAGACCAAGGGCTCTCATCAGAACATTAAACTGAGGCCAACCCCCCCACCCCCACCACCACTTAAAACTGTACAGTGGTCCACCACTGTCTACACTGTCGACAGTCTGGCCCCCCCTTACCTGCTGAGGTCCACAACCTCTTCCCATTGACCAGAGTGACCTGTGCCCTCCGGGCACACCATGCCTCTTAGCCCGCCCTGGAGGCCTGGACGGGCCTGCTCCCACTTCCCTTGTGGGAAGGCTGCCTCCGCTCTCCCTTCCCCCTCCTCGTCCATTAGCAGCTCCTGTCTCAAGCCATCCAAAGCACCGTACAAACCTCTATTATTATACTGGTCACATTTCCTCAGAGTTATTTGTTTCCAAGTTTGCTCCTGTGGCCAACTGTGAAGACTCTTTCAGGACAGGAAGCAATTCTTATTCATCTATGACCAACCCTAGGCACAGTGCTCAGTAAACGCCAGGGAGTGAGTGCACGAATGGGGCCAGAAGGCACATTTGCCAACAGGAACACACCCGGGGCTCTGCGTCCTGGCTTAGCATCTATAAGGAGGGGAGGCTGTCATACTTCCACCGTGCCTGAGTTTTGGTAGTAAGCATGTAACTTTTTAAAAAGAGATTCCAGGGGCGCCTGGGTGGCTTGGTCGGTTAAGCGTCCGACTTCAGCTCAGGTCATGATCTCACGGTCTGTGAGTTCGAGCCCCGCGTCAGGCTCTGTGCTGACCGCTCAGAGCCTGGAGCCTGTTTCAGATTCTGTGTCTCCCTCTCTCTCTGCCCCTCCCCTGTTCATGCTCTGTCTCTCTCTGTCTCAAAAATAAATAAACGTTAAAAATAAAAATTAAAAAAATAAAAATAAAAAGAGATTCCATTTTTAAAAGAAAAGGTTTTCCTGCACTGGGGGAATGACAAGGTCAAGAAATGTCAGAGTCCAGCAAGGACCGAAGTTACATCTACCGTAGGCCACTCCCTACCCTACCTCCAACAGCAAAGTCACCTCCTTACCAATCCTCTTACCTGACCTGACCAAACCCCAGCCGCTCTGGCCCCTTAAGCTTTCCCAGATGCCAAGCCTACCTCTCTGGGTTCCCACTCCCTTTCGAGTCATGTGATGCCCAGCCCTGATGGGAGGTTTACTCAAAGACGCAGCTTTAAGAACCAAATGGGAAAGTTACCTGAAACTGCGCTGGCTGAGGGCTCTGCCTGCACGGGTGAAGGGGCACCAGAGCCCAGCAAAGAAAGCCATGGCAAATCCTGCAGGAAAAGAGGGGGAAAGGGGTTATTTCTAAGTCAGTGTCCTTACTCAGAGCGAACCTGCTGGGGACTCGTGTGGGAGGTGGTACTTCTAGCATAAGATCATTAGTCACTAAATATAAATCTTAGTGGTTAAAAGATACACAGATGATTAGGTGGAACTCTAGCTCCAGTTTTGCTGATTCATATTCTCACTGGGGTCAGAGAGCTGGCATGGCCCACAGCAGTTCTTGCTATAATACAATAGCACAGAGGATGCCTTCCTGGTTACAGACTTCCATCGGCAGGAAGAAAGCAGGAATCCTCTGGTACACAACCAGCCAGTGACCCCTTCCCAAGTCCTCCACAGAGGAGAGCCTACACACCAGTGCCTCTGACACTCCTGTGTCTCCTGAAACCAGAACTTTTACTCCCTGAAAGCAGACTACCTGACCAACTGCCAGCTTGTCTTGTCACCATATCACCTTTCCCCAGATATAAAAGCCAGAACACCTGGATAGCTCAAGGCTAGTCAAGTAGAGCCAAAGGATGCCCTCGCCACGTCACCGACCAAAGCCTCTATCTGGGTGAGTCTCCCAAACAACAATATAACACAGAAAAATTACCTGCCCCACTCTACAGCTGAAAGCCGTGTTTGGGACAACAAGGTGGAGACAGAAGAACAAACACCAACCCCAGACCGACTCCTCCAACTTGCAGAACCCCAACCCCGCAGCTCCCTAGCCCCAACAAATATGGCAACCCCAGCTGCCTGCAAGACCTGGGCATCCGTTAGGGGTACATTTAAGAAAATCCTATAGCCAGCCAGCAATTCTAGCTGCAAAACATGCCTGTTCTTCTATCCAAATATTTGGCTACAGAGGGCCTCATCGAGAACTTTCTGCTGAGAAAGGCCTCTACCACTGGAGTATTTACACACAGCCTTCCCTCCTGTAACTTCAAAGCACCTCAGATAAGATTTTATTTAACAAGGGTGGGAGCGGGAGTCACTATTTACTTCCACAGAAACATCTAGACACTCCAGAAATGCTTATTAACTACAATTTAGCCTCAAATTATAAGCTTATTCTCCAGTGTTTTCCTTAAGACAACCCAGGAAGCATTGGCCAAAATGTAGTTATGATCAGAAAATTAAATGCAAAGAAAGGCAGCTAACTTCTAGAACTACTAACGTCTGACATACCGAATCAAAGACAATCAGAAGAGGCCAGCTTTACCTTTATAGCTAGGTGACCCTGGACAAGGAACTATGAGCTTCAATTTCCCCATCTGGAACACCTACACACAGCTGGTCATGAGATAAGCCATGCAAAGGACAGAGCATGGGGGAGCCTGGGTGGCTCAGCTGGTTAAGTGTCCTGATTCTTGACTCCAGCTCAAGTCACGACCTCACAGTTTGTGGGCTTGAGCCGCGCATCAGGCTCTTTACTGATGGCATGGGGCCTGCTTGGGATTCTCTATCTCCGTCTCTTTTCCCCTTCCCCACTTGTACTCTCTCAAAAATAAACAAACATTAAAAAAAAAAAAAAAGATTTGGGGCGCCTGGGTGGCGCAGTCGGTTAAGCGTCCGACTTCAGCCAGGTCACGATCTCGCGCTCCGTGAGTTCGAGCCCCGCGTCGGGCTCTGGGCTGATGGCTCAGAGCCTGGAGCCTGTTTCCGATTCTGTGTCTCCCTCTCTCTCTGCCCCTCCCCCGTTCATGCTCTGTCTCTCTCTGTCCCAAAAATAAATAAACGTTGAAAAAAAAAAAAAAGATGAAAAAAACAAAGGACAGGGTGCCTAGGTGGCTCAGTTGGTTAAGCATCCAACTTCAGCTCAGGTCATGATCTCTCGCAGTTCATGGGTTTGAGCCCCGTGTCGGGATCTGTGCTGACAGCTCAGAGTCTGGAGCCTGCTTTGGATTCTGTGTGTGTGTGTGTGTGTGTGTGTGTGTGTGTGTGTGTGTGTGTCTCTCTCTCTCTCTCTCTCTCTCTCTCTGAAGCCCCACAGCTGGCCATGGGCAGAACCAGAACCAGGCCCAGCTTCAGCCCAAGGGTCTTCCCACACACTGTACAGCTTCACTCTGCCATGCAAAGCTCACTTCTCAAAAGGGAGCTTAGGGCAAGAAGCAGTTTTAAGGGTCATCTGGTCTTTCTCGGTTTTCTTTCTTTATGAAAATTTACCTAATAGTTATAAAGCATCAGGCGCTAGACTAAGTGCTTTACATTATCATCTTCTTTAAGCCTCACAAAACTATAAAATAGGTATTAGTATCAGCCTCATTTTACACATGAAGGAATGAGGCCCTGCGAGGTTAGATAATTTGCCCAAGGTCACGGCCAGGAGTGACAAAATTGAAATCTGAACCCATGCTCTTACTCAACAGTTAACGTGGTTTAACTTTAATTTTACTATTAGTATTTTTCCAACTGTTAAATCCTCCCCATTCCATCACTGGTATCACATACACATTTTACTCATCCCCAACCCAATGCTTGCTGAATCAACCGAACTATATAAGCACCAGGTGAAAATTATTCACTTTAATCCAATTTAAGTTTTTGAGGACAATGTGTAGTGTAGGTGGCAAGAAGAGTTCCACACTCTGAGCAATAACTAAAAATTGGCCTAAAAAAAAAAAAAAAGGCTCTGAAAAGCAGTCCGTCTGGTCCAGGCGGCGGCTACCTCCGATCTCAGCCAAGCTTTCCCATCTGATGCTGGCGGGCCCTTGTTCTCACTCCCAGGGAGGAAAGAGGCTCCTCAGCTCCTCCACAGAACCCTCAAGATTAGCCCAGCACCACCCACCCACATTCCCTCTCCCAAGAACTGCAACACCCTGCCTCTTCACACCGCACCTCTTCCTCAGTGACACTTACGTTAGTCCCAGGGCTGCCAAAGTGCTGGGGGCTTCCCAGAACTTTCCCGACTTGGGTACAACAAACCCACGACTCAAGGCACCTCTCTAAAATCCACAGGGCAGCCTGGGCACAAACCCAAAGCCAGACCTCCTCTCTGTGCCTTGCTCACAAGCCGCCCCCACAACCTATGCCCAGCTCTGCCCAGCTAAATCTGCCCTAGTGCCAATCGCATCTCCCCCAGGCAGCCTTGTGTGAAACCACAGCATCACTTGCTACCCCTCCTGCACACCGAGGACATCTGGGGATCCTGTGCCAGAGGAACTCTCACAGCGCCAACGTTCACTATCCAAACTCAGTCACCGCATAAATTTAGATACTTTTTTGAGATAAGGCTGATAACCCTTAACATTCCAGTCCTTGCTACTCTCCAAAACTCAGAGACTCTGCAGAGATCTTGATAACGTGGCATCTGAACTCACTACAGGAATTCAGGGGTCATATAGACTCAGATCACGAGGATTATATGTACTGCCCTCAGACACAGGAGTCATACATTGACATCTCCAGCAGGTACTTCCATTTTCACAAGAAAAGGTCCAATTCAAAGACTTTTCACTAGCCCTTCAGTGGATCTGATAGTGACCTCCACACCCAAAGGACTTAAGACATCAAATGGACAGCAGTAAGCATTCCCATGAACTTGAAAGCACACAAGAACCAAATATATTCACTTACTGTACACGTGTCCCTTACTTCTCAAAAAAAAAAAAAATCTGTGGTCCCCTCTACTCCCACCCCAGCAGGTCTTGATAGAATAGGAGTGCAATGAATACCTGTTGAATAAAATAAATGAGGTGGCCAGGGCACCTGGGTGACTCAGTCAGTTAAACGTCTGACTTTGGCTCAGGTCATGATCTCACAGTCCCTGAGTTCGAGCCCTGCATCCAGCTCTGTGCTAACAGTTCAAAACCTGGAGCCTGCTTTGGATTCTGTGTCTTCCCCTGTCTCTGCCCTTCCCCTGAGGGCAAATTTTTTAAAAATTTTAAAATGAGGTAGCCAACAGAAAGAGAGACTCCCCTCACCCACGGCTCCACATAGAAGGAAATCCAGACCCTGTAGAGCTGTTATCTGTGTATCAGGAACCAGGACATCACATGCAAACATACTTTGGGAGAACCATGGTGCTAGTCATGGGAGGATTAGCCCGTGCCATGTATACCAGCCCCTGGAATCATCTCCTGGGCCTAGTGCCTACAGTGCCCACTGTGGAAAGGTCCCTCATCCCACCACTAGATAACTGGTTCGGATCAGGCAAGAGTAATAATGGAAGCAGCAATTTACTTCAAAGCAACTCCAACTGACCCTGATGTTATTTCCTAGCATAAATCCATCATGCAGACACAGCCCTGATTCACTTCAGAGCGGTCTATATATAATGCTTTGTTTTACAAGCAATGTCACTCTGAGTCTTGTGTGTACGGGAAACTAACCCCAATGATATTTCCTCCTCTACAACACTCTCACTCAGAGGCCAGCTATTCGGAAGACTCCAGTGCCAGAGATGGCTTTTCATGCCACTTCCTGGTCAGCACCAAGTATTGCCCTCCAGGTTTAGAGTATGAATCACAACCTCTCCAGGGAGAGGGGGATGGGGGAGCAAGAGAAGGAAGGAGGGGAGGAATGAAAGAAAGAGAGAGATTACTTAATAAAATCCAAGAATTGTGCTCACTTTCCATCCTGGTTTAGCTTTAAGATCTCCCTTCGGTTTTGGAGGCCAGGGAGGGCCAAGCAGGTGAGTATTTTACTCAGCATGGCCCTATAGGTCCCATCAGAAAGACACTCAGTGAGGGCAGGGACCTGCACACTCAGAGGGCTCAGCACAATGTATCCAAGTGGAGTTCACTAAGTATCTGTTAAATGAATACAATTAATCTACAATTGCAATTCATTCGTGCTCCAGTCCCAGAGAGGCCCCATGCTGGGGGCGGGGGGGGGGGGGGCTTTCTTGTGCCCTTCACTCTGGCTCCTAGTGACTTGGGGAAGCCTCCAAGACACAATGAACATGTTTAGCTAATTTTAACACATAGAGACTAAGCTGGAAAAGCAGACAGAAAGAGCTTATACCTCTGGTGCTTTGTGGAAAGCAGGAATGTACCATTCCTTG